TCTAATAAAGTTGTTCTCTATTTATAAGCAGGCTAGCAAGGAATTGATTTATCAGTGAAATGCATGTTAAACATGTTATAATAAGGAGGAGAAGGACCTTGAGCTGAAAAAATACTTGTCATTCAATTTTTTTCATATTTTGTATATTTCTAATTAAGTATGTCCCACATATCTTAAAGCAGTTATATCATTAGGTTTCTTACCTTATTTTGGAGATATTGATTGACAATTACTATGCCCTACTGTATCTAAGTGGAGTTTTAATTCTCCATGTTTCCGGGCTAATTACTCTGTCCTTAATGGGATTTTTTAAGCATATGTAAAAAATATCAAAGTGGACATGTATCTTTTAAATTATTTCAGAGTATAACTAGGATTTAAAATTCAAAAAAGCAAGTTTTGTCTATCACACTGCATCTGGATAGGGAAAATTACGCACTTTTTAAGACAACTTAAACAATAAAAAACGTAATTTACAAAAAATTCTATCATTCAATATTTTTTAATTTATGTTGAAATGCAAATCCTTCAAATTATTGAATAACTGTAAAAATTTCAAATGACGAAGCTGACCTCATTATTTCACAGGACATTGTTAAAGAGGACATAAGCATGACAAAAATGTGTCATGTTACATTTCTCGACTACGAGAAAAACCAACTATGACGTCACAGGTAAGCTAAATAAGCGAAATAAGATATACCTACATATGATTTCCGTCATCAGCCATGCAAAAATAATTTTTGTGTTCCCCATTTCTCAAAATATTTCATCATATACTGATTATGAACTGTTTTTACATAATACAGTGGCTTCCATTTTATCGGATAGCGGTTTAACGAATATTTCGGCTATTTCAATATAATATCAGAGCACAAAACCATTTCTTATATATTTATTAATAATTTCACCTGATATTCTGATGAAAAAATACTGGAATTTTGTTTTATCCCATACAAAAATTTGGACTATCATAGTGTTTTTTGATAATCAGCACTTTGTTCACACCTCCACAGAGCTCGACATTAACGCTTGTCCGGTACCAGCGAAAAAAAATTACGGACAAGTGAATATTGCTGGGCACTTGTCCGATTGGACAAGTGCATTTTAATATAAAGAAGTCTTCAAATAATAAAAAGAACGACTATTGAAAGTTCATCGGTAAAGACGTAAGCAGTACATAAAAAAACGAACTGCGATCCCGATATGGATCGCTATGTAATTGAGTTCACACTCGATCGGGATCGAAGTTCACTAATTGCATACTACTGCAAAGGAGGGCATGAAGTTACGTCGAGTTACGAAGTTTAGGTTCTTTTTGATAATTGTGAACATTTATGTTGTTGTCAGGATAGAAAGTCTAGATAAAAGTTTGTTTTTATGTGTTTGTTGTATTTATCAATAACATCACGAATGAATCACATGTAATGGACTTTATATTAGTTTTCAAGTTGACAGTATTGTATCTTTATTGAACAAATTTCGGACCAGTGAAGTTGAAGTTCGGACAAGTAAATGTCTTGGTCACTTGCCCGATTGGACAAGTAAGGGGAAAAAATTAATGTCGAGCCCTGCTCCACCTTCGTATGTGAAGCCTTTGTTTACACAGTTTGACACCAATTACCTTGACTGGCTTGAGTACGACAATGAGGGGATTAGTTACGCCTGGACGCACACAGGCACCTTACCTGTGTCAATAGTGGGCATAGTAAATAGATATGTTTTGATTACAGTTGTGGTGATCAGCTTGGGTTCAATGATGCACTTGTTAATTATGACAGTTATCTGCAATTTTTTCGGCGTGAAATTTTAATTATTGAACTGATTAGCTTGTGTATGACAATTTGCTTGGATAATGAAATAACCCTATTCAATCGTTTAACTTGGTAAATTGGCTTAATATTTATTCACTTTTCAGTGCAAAATTTATGGTAAAAATCACAAATGGCTCGTTCTATAAAAATACGTCTCAAAATTCATACCAACTTTCTCGACATGGCTCTCAAAATCTCTCTTCAGCAGACAAGAACGAGACTGGTAAACTCACACACAGTATAAAATACGTAACCGTATTAAAGAAACAAATCTAAAGGAAACAATTACATATATTTAATATTTTTGTTTATTTTCAATTTACAATCTATCCAGGGAAAAATAGTTTACGGTTATTAGTCAAGCATTTAGTCTACTTCCTTTTCCAAAATAGCGACCATCGAAGAAGGAATGTAAACATGTGCTGAAGAAAGATGGCAATAACTATCAAAGAATATACTCTATACGTCAATTTATTTGATAAAAAATTTCATATTAAATTCATAAGTAAGTGAAATAAATTATTTTTAGTAAAGTCATTAAGTAAACATGTCAAAAGAAAACAAAAGTGCAAGCTTGAAATTTGCTAGCTACGATGTATTATCAATACATGTAGCTCTATACATCTATCTTTGGACTCGGTATGGAGCAATCGGCTATTCTAATTTTCGGCTATTCGGATAAAACTATGCCGACAACTTGACTATTCGATAAAACGGGAACCACTGTAATACCACCCCTGTGTTCACCGAGTATGATCTTGCTGTACTAACAGATCATGTATGACGTCACCGACTTGTTGGACACGCAGTTTAGGGAAACAGAGGAGTGGATCAATCTTTTTCATAATTTGTTAATGTTTACAAGAACGTAAAAACTTTTTAATTTTTTTATATAAGATGGTAATTAAAGTTAAATCAAAAGCCTGAAAGGCTTCAATGGCGTCGAACATTTAAAATCAATTTCAAAAGTTCTTTTTGAATTAAATTTGAAATGAAAAGACTGTAAGCACACGATATCACAATTATACATGTAGTTTGGGGGCTTTATTTTGTGGTCCGAATTCACCAGACGCCGTTGAAAGTAAACACACATGGAAGCCTGTTCATGTTAAATAATAAATTAATCTCTTTTCAGTTAGATTAAGTGCTAGAAAGGATTTTTTTTTTTACTCTTCTACTTGCCAATGTCTATAAGCATCATTATTTTAATAGTTTTAGCTTGCAAAACATTTACAGTGATTGCAAGTTAGCTACGAGATACGATCGGTATACGGTATATCCAGTGATGGAGCTCGACCCTTCGATGTTTACGATAAAATCTGCTGGTTGTAAAATTGTAAGGCTAAAGATTGATCTTTAAAAGTCAGTTAGTTTAAACTTCTTATTTGTCCATTAAAATAGTTTCGTGATTATTTTACCGCTTTGCTGTTTATTTTCTTTTTTTTCATGGCTTTCGATGATTAATGTAATTCAACGCATCGCTATACATGATGTGTAGAAATTAATCCGCAGCAACTTTCAGGAAGGTCGCCACTTTTTCTTTTGTTACAATAAACACAATATCTCTATTTTTATCATAATTAATTGTGGATATACGTAATGCAATTCTATTTTGAATTCATTTTGATATGCTCTATTTTCTTTTGTGGATGCATCGACTGACACCTTTGGTTGCGTAAACACTCGGAGCTCCTCGCATGGCTCGTACCTTGTACATTTGTATGGAATTAACCGAGGATTGCCGATTGTTGCGTAAAGCCAGTGACGATCCCTAGTTGGCTTTCGACCTTCGGTCGACGCCACAAAAATTGTCAAAAAATTATACAAGAATTAATGCTTTACACATATTGCACTTATATAAACGGAGACTATGATGTAGTTAAACAGTCATGTGACCATGTGTCCTTCATCCCCTTAAAATGAATTCATACAAACACCCAGCATATCGGACCTTTATGGCACTCTAAACAGATATTAATATACTGTACATGTATTACGAAATACAAGTATCAAGACTTCAAGTACAATTTTTTCTATAACAAAATTAAGCCATCTGTGTTTAAGCTGAATGCAAGTATTTTACATTTTTTAATGATGAAAAATTAATAAAGAAAAAAAAACAAGAAAGAACAAATGTTTGAGAGTTCTGACTATATACTGAATTGCGATTGACTTAAAAAGAACATTACCGATAACCCCCACCCCCCTTCAATGGTGGACTTTTTTTTTTCCTTTACCGTGTTATACTTGAATTCTTAATAATGAACTTGAACATCCTAACATTACTTGTATTATATTATCTATCGCAGTGTTACTGCTAGTGGTGTTCCAACCATCGATTATAATCGAAAATCAGTCGATTGTTGGCATAATCCAAGCGCTCGATTACAAAATTTCTATTCCGATTAATCGGGTTATTTATTTTATTTTACAAGCGTAATAGTTTTCAAGCCAAATATTCCAGCCGCGACTTTTCTATTAACTTATTTGTGTATCGTAATGGCGTAGACGAACAGACATTGTATTCATACCCGGGTAACAACGCTAATTCCCGGGTATGGACATACTTTGGATTCTATAAAATGAATGAAGAACCAGCTGGACTAGATCGAACGTTCTATCGTTAAAATATTGTCCTAAGGACTAGGGCTTGTCCCGAAACACAGTTAGATTATTCTAACTACAGCTGGACCACCACAGAAAGTAGTTATTCATCCATTCTTACCATTTGATAAACTAAATTGACAGACTTTGTAAATGTCCGATTATAATTGATAATTAGTTAGTTACAGTAGTCCGATCATCGATTATGAAATTCTTACCGATTCCCATCACTAGTTACTGCATATTAATTCTAATGCACGAAGAATGTTTATATCAATATACCGTTCATTCTGACTTTGTGGGCAGAATTATGAATTTCATAATACTAGAGAAGATAAGCTACTTATCTTCACGTAGGCAAATTTAATAAAAATTTCAGATAATATGCCGCAAATTCTAAGGAACATTATATCAAATTTTTCTGAACATGTTTTCCCGTAAAAATTTTTATGCAGTAAACCCGCGACCAACCTTAAACTGTGCTTACGATCAAACAAGTTCGAAAGTTCCTCGTTCTCTCGTCTAATTATCATAAATATGTGTTATATTCAATTGCTCTACTAATAATAACAAGATACTTACTGTCTTACAGCTCTTTACCCCTGCTAAACGCCGCCATTGTCCTCCCACAATGCATTGCGTGTATCGCTACACCGTATTGTGGGATATTCCAATTGACATTTATAGATACACAAAATGTTGAAAGCGAGGGACTTAGACCGACTGTTCTAAAAATAGATTTTGCGTTGTGGGACATTTTTCTATATATCCTTATGGGTCAAAAAAATTATTTTTTTTGTTTTTTATGGTAGGAATAGCATTTCCAACATTTCTGTGAAGTTTAGACTACATGGTTTATGGGTCAAAATATAGATGACCCATAAACCACCTAAGGATCCCACAACGTGAGTCTGAGATACGCCAAATATCCCATAACACGCCTCTTGTATAACTATATATATATATATATATATATATATATATATATACATACATGTATAAGATTCTCTACTTTCATACATCTTATGTAATTAGTCAATGTGTATAATAATGCTGTGTGTTAATCAGGTTGTGATTACGAAGGAACATACAAGAACTCGGGAACTACGTGGACTGAGCGCTGCATTACTTATAGATGTAATACCACAGATGAAATTTCTCTCTATTCTCTAGTGAAGGGAGAAAAAGGGTAAAGTGAACATAATAAATTTATATATATTCAAATATTTCAGTATTTTAATACATGATTTTTTTATTTCTTATTTTTGTAGTTGAGAAGAGAAGATCGATCCCGATCGGAAAACAGTTATTTTTCCATGTGTTATTTTTTATAATGTTGATGCAGTGTATAATTTAACTGTGGGACTCACGCATTGAATTTTTTTATATCCCACACTATGTTTTACCTTTATGTTATGCCTTGTGACATCACATGTGTGCATTAGTAAACATTAAAGATAAAGGTTGAATATAGGGACAGATGATACAAACAAACTTTTATCCAAAATCCTGAAAATAACAACCTAAGTTATATTTATATGAGTAAAATGAATAAGTTTAACCGCACAGATTTTAATTTTTCATTCAAAGTTTCAAAATAATGGGATTTTAAGTGACAAAAAGTTGTATAGATTAAAGTTTTGAACATCATAAAAAGTTTACAAATTCTTAAATTATTTTAGAAATTTATTAGTCACATAATTTACAACCAAAATAGGTCAAAGAATATATACTAAACCAGGCATCAATATTTTTGTTTGTATCATCTTCCTTAAATCTATTTAATTAATAAAATCATTGAAACAATAGAATTTCTTTTAAAATGAAATATGAAGATAACGTACAGTATTCAACCTCAGGAGTCCAATGAAACGATACAAATTTGGAGCAGAGCAAACACGGACCTCAAAATTTAGAGGTGGGACCAGGTGCCATGGAGGAGTGAGCATCCCCTGCCGACAGGTCACACCCGCCGTGTGCTCCTTGTCATGATCGGGAAACAAAAACCGGAAAAATCCGTAGACAGTTCAGTATAGATAATGGCTTTACAATTAGTATGAAAAACGTCAGTCAGGCGCTTTTTTTCTTTATTTCATGTTGTGTTTTCTATTCCCCCTCCAAAGGCTAGTGTAAAGAAAACACATAACTCTTTGGATAAAAATCACAATCAAATCACAAACCGTATGTACCGGTATTTAACATGTAATATTTTTGCAGGATTTCATTGTTTTAAATTAATGGCTGATAATTAATCGTTCTTCTTCTTTTGACCAATTTTTCCTAAATTTTTATAATGCTGACATCATAGACAAGAGGTTCGCATGGCCAAATTTACAAGTTCTAATTTTTTCTTGGCCTTTCCTTCTGGTAATGGGGAAAACGTGCATGATCGCTGTGCTGAAGAACCAGAACTGCCAGATTGAAATTAACTCAAAGATTTCGAAACTTATGCCTTTTAGAAAAGACATTCCATCTAGGTTATTGGTTTCCCAATATAAAAACATTATCGTCATCCTAAAGCTACATGGCAATGTATTTCAAAATCAAAGCTTCCATATGGCACTGGTAAGTGCACGAGCCCATAGGTAAGTGTGTCGTAAATCAACAAATAAATATATACTGTAAACTTACGACATGATGCATTCTTGAGAATCAAAAATGTTAATATAAGAAATGTTGAACGGTTAACTCATACATTAATATACAAGACAAATTCGGAGTTGAGTTGATAGGGTACTACATAGAGTACTAGATAGATAATTATAATAAACCGATCTTTTTAAACTAGCATCATTTCATACTAAGAGAGGAATACCAATAGAACTTTTGACCAATCTGTTTGAAATTACAGATATATTGAAACATGCATCATGAGTCTTTACTCTTTAGACATCTTAATGCACAGTCATTGAATTAAAAAATGATGTATCCTTCGATTACAGGCACTGTACAATTCATGAGCTTTTGTAAATATACAAAAGCTCTATGTTCCCCTAAGGAGTGAAGTAATACCCAAAACTGTATGACTCAAATGTTGTCAATATCTGCAAATTAGAACGTTTTCAAAGTTTTTTTTCTCTTTTTGGAAATATTGCAATACATGTCTTTTGTTTTTTTAAGACTCTGTTAAGATTGTTTTACTGATTCTGAATTAGCCATTGTGAAGGCTTATAACTTCCGGAAAGTTTGACCTCATCAAATTTAGATGAATAAAACAAAGTTCTCAAAGGTATGAAAGAAAGTATGTATTATGCTTGAATAAAATAGGTGATCAACTGTGAACAAACAGTGATCGATAAAAAGAACAAACAAACAAAAAACAATACAGATCACTTAACAGGACATAAAACATGGACCCCTGTAAATTCCAGAGGTGGGAATAAATAGAAATGTGCTTTCTCAGACTTATGAAGCAAAAAAATATTCTTAAAAGCTTGATGCATATCTATAAGCCACTCTCAGTCACATAAATAAGGGGTACGGGCATTTCATATTAAAACTGAGGCAAGGTCAGGTTTGTACTATTATACTGAATTAATGATCATCACTTTTAAGAGCCATTCTCTGTAATGACTTGAACTTTTATATAGGAGCTGTGGCACGCATAGTCTCAGAATTTCTCCAAACTCTCTATGATAAAAGTCTTTGATACCGTAAACTCAAATCAGGCAAAAATTGGTTGCTACGTGTCATGGTTACCATAGCAACATATCCTAAAGTTTGAAAAATGGCATTTTTCAACATGTTCAGAGCCCCACAGTTAACGTTTGCGGCAAAGCAAACAAGTGGCAATGACTGTTTCCGAAAGTTGAAGGCTTGGTGTCTTAAATGCATGATAAACATGTTTGGTAAATCAACTATAGCATACGTTACTATGGAAACAATGTATTCAAAAGTAGTAATTTTGTTCATTTAATTTTATAAAGTCATACACTTAAGAATAAAAACAATTTTAGGTTGAAATGCAAGCAAATAATAGACAAGAGATCCTTGTAACTTATACCAAGGACAAAATATGATATTTCTTATAGGTTGGCAATGGTTGCCATGGTTTTAATACCACGAAGGGATTTTAAATTTACTATCTTAGTGTTTTAATCTTATCTTTTTAAAAAGCATATTTCTATATATCTGATGATCAATTGTTAAAGGCGATGATGTGACCCTAATTTTCACATTTCAAAGAATTCAGTTTCAATTCTTTAAATAGTGCGTTTGCTATGGAAATAAGGCGAACAAACATGCATAAAAATCTGAAAAATACTCTGTTTCCTTGGATACGTACCCTTTTATGTAGATTCCCAAAACTTTAATTATTGATATGTCAACAACTAACCTGACTTTCAATTTTGACTACCACCCAATCTCTAACTGGATGCAAAAAGCTGGCACATAGGGTCTAATATTGACATAAAACTAACAAAATCGAACATTTTCTCTTCTTGGTAACCATAGCAACAGTATTGTATTTTTCAACAACCTTTATCAATATATGATATTCAACTTTTGTTCTTCGAGATAAGTACTATTCAAGGTGATTCAAATAATATGTTTCTTGATTAAAAGGTTAGCAAATTTCTAAAGCAGCAAAAAAATATCACTTTAAACAACTAGTGCGTTGTTTCCATGGCTACACTGCAAAGTAACAATTAATCTCAATTTTTCTTATGTTATCGGTGTTGCAAGGTCCTAAGGATGTATATGTACCAGCATGAACTTTATTGTTTTTCCTCAAGATAGTAGCATTAACCCAATCATAGCAACATATTTTGCAAGGTGACGATGTGTTACCATGGCAACCATGAAAGTTATTTTTAGAATAATATTGCCAATACCTAATTACATAAGGTCAAATATTTTTCATTGTTTTTCTTAGGTTGTTGATTGAGTTTGATCATGTAACATCTATCATTTGTGAATATTGAGCGTTTTTCAGCGTTTTTCAGCATCTAAAATGTATTCCAAATGTACCCATGGTTACCACTTACTTAGAGATAAATTCTAAATAGTTTCTTTATAGCATAAGTGGCAACAAGGTGTTATGTTTTTGGGAGAATGGTTTGTTTGTTTTTCTTAGTCTTTATTAAGGCTTAATAAAGATTTAAAGAAGCTGAAAATCTCTATTTTTTCAACTTTTCTGGCTGTTACCATGGCAACCAAGACACATAGCAACGAAATTTTATTTGATATATGTTTCTGGTGTCAAGTTGTAATAATGGGCAAAGTTTCATCAAAATCGGTGACCATGCGTGGCAAAGAAGTTTAAGTGGTTAAAGAGAATCGCTATTAATTCTTGTAATCTTCTATTTGAATCTTCTCAGTAGTATCAATAACAGTCGAGGGATTCAGATTAAAGAATGGTAATCTATATATAAATTTATCAATGCACCACATTGTAAGCAAACCAATGGTAGACGAATAAAAATTGTAACTGTTTTACTAAGAAAATGTCATTCTTTTTTTATAATGTTTTTAGGAAAAACTCCTTGGATAAAAATCATACCCAAACAGGAAGTAGGAATGCATACATCAATAAGTTCTGTTAGAAGAAATATGAATTGCGAAAATGTAAAACTTTCATTTAACTTGTCTAGAAAAGACTCCTGCGGATGAATTAAGTTTGAATGCATGTAATACTA